GAGATGGGGTTTCACCATGTTGACCAGGATGGTCTCGATCTCTTGACCTCGTGATCCACCCGCCTCGGCCTCCCACAGTGCTGGGATTACAGGCTTGAGCCACCGCGCCCGGCCCTCCCTAGGTCTTTTCTAATTCAAATTCCGCTTTCGTCCAAGTCCACCTCGAGTCAAGACTAATTTCTCCTCAGCGCTTCCTGGTTCTGATCTTCATCTTCTCCTCCCAGTAATGCACAATATCATTTCTCAATCAGAAAGTTAGCACTACCTTTTAGGACAAAGGTTCTCAAAATTAAAATTGTATTTAAATCATCTGCATGTGTGTTCGTAGGTTTGGCTCAGCACCTAGGAATCTGCTTTTCAACAGATCCCCAGGGGATCCAGGCACAAAGGATCCTGGACCACTTTGACCCACTTTGAGGAACCCTATGTTAGATCTCTGCGGTTGGCTTTTATTTCTCCACCTGGGCTGTCTGCAGCCCACCGCGCCTAGCAAAGTGTACGTGCGTTGCTCAGCGTCTGGCTGCCGGTGTCTGCTCAGCTTGGTGACTACCAGATACTTCAATATTTGATGACACCCTGAGTCAAGACGAGTAGCTCAGCCAAGTGCACAGAGCTGCCCTCTCCAGAAGAGACTAACTCCTGAGGGGTAAGGTCGCTCTGAAAGTCACCAGAAGAACATTAGGAAATTACATTTTCTGTCCTCTCAAAACATGAGCAGTCATCACCCCAAATGACCTTAGTGCGTCTCAAATACACCACGCTTTCAGATTAGGCAAAACGCACTGCAAGTTAAACCGACTGCAAAAGAAAAAGCCCACACATATTCCGTGCGTTCAAAGCCAACATCCTCACAAATGCAAAGTGATGCACCCCAAGCAGAGATCAAGGAAAACGAATGACACGCAGGTCACCAGGCTTTGAAAACACAAGGCGCCCGAAGCTGTTCTCTACGTGGCTGTCCCCAGCCACCCACTCCACCCGCGCGGCGAGCGATCCTGGGCCCAGCCCGGCCGTCCGCGGGGGTGGGGCCGGGACGGCGGCGGCGCGCTGACGTCACGGGCGTGGGTCGTCCGTCGCGTCGCCCGGCGGGGAGCGGGCTGGCGGTGGTAGCTGTCGCCCGCTGGGTTGCGTGACCGCGGGGTCTGCGTCCGCTCCCTCCGCCCTTCGCCCTTCGCCTCGTCCGGGCCTCCGCAGCCCGGCAACCGCCGTCATGGTGCCGTCGGCACACCTTGCGCGGCCCCGCTGAGCCTCGGTGCGGCGGCGAGTGCGGTCGAGGTCGCCATGCCTACCCGTGAGTGGCTGGCCGAGGGCCGGGCCGGGCCGGGGGCGTTGGGAGGCGGCAGCCGCCTCTGCGCGCTTGGGGGCCGGGTCGTCCTCCCGGGGCGGCTGGGGAGGCCGGGCTGCGCTTAGCAGAGCCAGGAAGTTCCTGCGAGCGGCAGAGTTACTTTCGTTTCCGCTTAGCCTTCCGGGGATGGCGTGAGCCCGTTGCACGGATGGGGAAACTGAGGCCCGAACGTTAAGGGAACTGCTGGGACGCGCCGTGAGGAGGCGGCAGAGCTGGTGGTAACCCAGACCCGTGGGATTTCAAAGTTAAAGCCCTTTTCCCAGCCCGCCACACGGCTTCGTGGGACTTTATGGAAATACTGAAAATAACTGCGGGGCGCTTGTCAGTCCCTTCTCACCTCGGGGGCCGGACGTCGCTGGTGGACGCGCCGGCCCCGAGCCCCTTCCAGCGGCCTCCAGACCCCAGACAGCCTAACTCGGCGTCCGTTTCGCGGCCCGGGCGGCTGAAGTCGGGAGCTTGTTAGGCAGAGGCGCCTCGAGAGTGGCTTTTGGACCACACTTTGGATTCACCCGGGCAGATGGTTAAAAATGCCGGCTTGGGGTCCCTCTCTAGCCCCATGGGATTAGAGTCTGGAGGTTGGGCCCCGGAGTCTGCATGTCTGATTAGCATCCCTGGGCTCACCAAGGGACCTCGAAGTTTAAATGTCACTCGGTGTTGGAGGATTTTTAGACAGATGAGATACCAATACTACTAATGACCTATTTTAAAGTGACCCAGATAATCGCAATGTGACTTTATACCCACTGGTCTGTATGGATATATGCAAACTAGGGAAGCTCCTGATCCTGGGTAGAGAGGAAGCAACCTGGCATTGATTTGAGAATTCTTTTCAAGTAGGACTCTTAAGTATTCAGTGCCATAGAATTTTTACACACTCTTGAATATATTTCCTAGAATTCATAACCACTTCTAGTTGTCCTTATTTTTGTAGCCATATGGGACACTGAATTTTCAGGTCAGCCTCAAACGCATGTTTTGTCTAGTGATGGGAAAAAGTTATTTCTCGGTATTAGAAAGATTGATTTTTTTTTGATATTTAATGATATTAAATTTAAATCGATATTAAAGATATTTAAATATCTTCTTAAGATTTAATGATTTTCCTGTGGCAAATCTTTAAATAGTCCTGATATAGAGATTACTTTTAACTCTTCATACATGTGTGGGTACTATGGATTTTGTTTTCTTTACACACTACTGTGTGTCCTTAACTCATGCTCTTGGACTTCGTGTCCAGTAAATATGTCCAGTTTATATTTCTGTTTTATTCCTTTTGGCTGGAGGAATATAATTTACAATCATCTTCATTGTTATTATTGCCAGTTTGTTACTTCTAAATTCATGCTCACGTTATTCAGTGAATATTTCGGATTGGCACTATGTTAATCTTTTATTTTTCTGAGAAAGCAAAGGGGAGGAAGTAAGCACCTATTCTTGAAAGTTGAGGCTTCAAGTGGAATTTATTGGTAGCATGCCCAAATTACAATCCTATGAAATAAAATGTTTAATTCTGTTCTAGGATTATCTAGCTTCACAGAGTGGGTATAGTAAACTTTCTTCTTTTCAAATGTTTAGTTTACTCTGCAAAATGATTTTAGGATGGGCCATGATGGAGTTTGCATAGCGAAAATGTAGATTTCACACCCTGACTGGAAGACAAATGAAATGTTTGTTTTATCTTTCATTGTTAATATTTGTCATGGTAATATTTGTCATTTTTTTATGCTGAATAAAAGTGTGCTGTGGATTGATTGGGGGTACCAGTGTGAGGTGAGTAGTGTTCATATTTGCCTTTTCTCTCCTTTGACGGTCACAGCTGCCTAAATTGCTGGGACGTGCAGTGGACAATAATATTTCTTTGAAATTCTCTTTGTCAAATATTTATCCAACACAGAGATGGCAAAATTGTCACTCTCCTTAGGAGTTTAGGAGGAAATTCATGACTTTTAGGAAGAAAACTGCTCAAATAAGCTGTTTCTGTTGGGTGGGTTGGTTGTTTTAATGTTCAGTGGTTGAGAGGCTCAGTGTTAAAGCCCAAGCCAGTTAATCTGTCTGAGTTTTAATTAAAATCAAAGGTTTGGAGGTGATCACTGTGGTCTCTCAGACTCTGCAGTTCTGAGAGCAACCCTTGCTGTAAGTCACGGAATTATTCTACTCTTGCTGTTTTGTTGCTTATTTGGAATATTGGTACTCGGTCATTGAAACTGTTGTTAATAAGTAGAATCCAGTGGAGCATGCAGTAACCCCACTGGCTAAGCAATGATATATCTCATGAATATTAATAGCCACTTCACTGGAATTATTTTGGAGATCCATAGACTCTTTAAGAAAGCAATCACCTGGAAGCCTGCCTGACAGGAAACTGCGAGGACACGGGAACAATTTTGTGGTCCTGTTATAAGCCTGTAGTCTGAAACAGTCCTTAGGCACAGATTTCAAGACTATGTCACCGAATGAGTGAACCTATAATTAGACACATCATTTTTCTAGAGGCCTTTATTTCATTCTCCATTCAAAGGACCATTAAGAAGCATTTCATTTTAAAAGATTTTCAAACTCTGAATCAGAATTTGAGTTGGAAGGACTGTTAAAGCTTCTTAATCATTTTATTTTGTGTATTGGGAAGCTGAGTCTTCAGTGAGTTTGCATGGAATAAAACCATTGAACACAGAACTGGCCCTCAGTAACCACAGTGAGCAGAGTAACATTCATTTTTCTCTAGCACTAAATCAAAAATAGTTCAGTTACATTTTTTTCCCCTTCAGTTACATTAAGACAAATGTAAGCTTGGTCAAAATTTCAGTCGTTCTATGAACTTACAGGAATGCCTTTGCTTTTATCTTGTCACAGAAATCTTTGGAAGAACTGTGGATTACACTGGTGTGCTAAGTAGATTCTTGTTTATATAGCCACAAACTTAAACTTTTAGTAAGCTTGTTAGATGAAAGTGGCTCCTGAGTTCACAGATAACTTGCCTCAAAGCAGGTCCAATAAAATGTGCTCTTTTATTTTATATGAGAAGTTATTCTGTATTTGCTAGGGCAAACCAAAATTTTCAAACATTGTTTGCTATTAAACCATACTTGCATTAATTATGTGTGGTTAATGCTTTCTTTTCTCATTTAGTTACTGACATTGATATCTAGGCAGTTTTCTGAGGCTGTAGTAATAATATGGTTACTCCATGTTTGTAAAAACTTGATGAAGCTAATTACATTTAACTTATTTTTTAATTCATTCTTATGAAAGAAGTACAGAATGAAGTGTAAAAGAGGGGTGCTGACTGAAGTGTTTTCCTTTTAGAGACACGTTACATCCAAGCTTGACCTACCTACTTTCATATTACTGGATTATTAGCCTTTTGTGTTCATTCATATTTGCATTATTTCTCTTCCTTTTTCCCTTCTTCCCCCTTTTCCTCATTGTCCCCTTGCTTCCTTCCCACCCCCCAATCTCCTTCCTTCCCTGCCTTCCTCCTTTCTTCTACCTACCATCTAGGTCTCCTGCCAGAGTTGTAGATGATGAATTTTCTTTTTTTCAGTGACCTTTGGCTTGACACTGCTCTTTGCTGCCCATATCTCATCTTTCAGTCTGTCCCTACTTGGGGAGGGGGGGACATGGGGCTGCATTAAAGATTATGTAGGTAGTAGGAGACAATGCTAGAGAAAGAGAAAGCCAGAATTTGAGGGGTTTTATGTGCTCTTACAATCACAGTTACAGTGGCTGTTTTATAGGCTTAGTAGCAGTTTCCAACTTATTGATTACTTTATGAAGACTTACAGTTTTCTATTAGTAATAGGAATTAATTATTGAATACTGATTGTGTACTAGGCAGTATACTTTGTGCTTTACCCGAACTATTTTATTTAACTCTTCCACTTTGAGGGAGGCCCTATTTGACCTGTTTTAGAAGATAGAGAGATTGAAGTTCAGAAAAGTTACATTCCTAATGAGTAAGTGGTAGAGCCGGGATTGGAACCAGATGGGCCTGATCTCTAAGTCCCAGCTCTTTTTTCATACTCTAGTGCTCTGAGCTAGGCAGGAGTTGAATGGGAGCCCATCAGTTTAACACCGTCACTTTTGATTAACACCATGCCTGGTTACATGGTAGGTGCTTGGTAAATGTTGAATAAATGGATAATTGAATGTTTAAAAAATTTTTAAATTGATACATAATATTTTCACATATTTATGGAGTAGGGTACATGTGATATTTTGTTAAATTCATACAACATATAATAATCAGGTCAGGGTATTTAGGGTATCCATCACTTTCAGTGTTTATCATTTCTTTGTGTTGGGGACATTTCAAGTCTTCTAGCTACTTTGAAATATACAGTACATTGTTATTAATTATAATCATCCTCCTCTGTTATCAGCCACTAGAACTTATTCCTTCTGTGTTTTTACCTATTAACCAACCTCTCTTCATCTTCCACGCTTACCCCCTCACCCTTCTGGCTTGTATGTAGAATGGATTGAATCGTAACTGGAGTCAGATAAGTCATTCTTTGGATACCATAACCGGAAGTATTTTTTTCATACAGATAGTGTCTTAAAAGTTTTATAGTTTGGCCAGGCGTGGTAGCTCACACCTGTGATCTCAGCACTTTGGGAGGACAAAGTGACAGAATCACTTGTGGCCGAATGTTCTAGACCAGCCTGGGCAACATAGACTCCATCTCTATAAAAAAATTAAAAATTAGCCAGGTATGGTGGTATATGCCCGTAGTCCTGGCTATTTGAAGGTTGAGGCAGATGGATGGTTTGAGCCCAGGAGGCTGAGGCTGCAGTGAGCTGTGATCTCACCACTGCATTCCAGCCTGAGCAACAGAGTAAGACCCTGTGTCTAAAAAGGAAGAATATATATATGTATATATAGTTTATGATTAGGTTCTTTGCAGGCCTGTCTGTACCATATTTGAGGTCTGAGACAAGAATAAAAA